TTTTAGTTTGTTTTATTGTTCAACATAGCTAGGCTGTTTTTTTTAAGTTCGAAAGGCTTAAAAAGTCTTAAAAAGTGCACTGTTTTATATTAATGTGGAAATTAATTTATTCCTGTTAAATTAATATTAATATAAAACCAATACATTTACTTTATATAATTTTTTTAATACAATTTTTTAACTTATTTTATTTTTTGATTCATATAAGTAATATAAATAAATGAATAAATGAAATCTGTCCTGACTTGAATGAGTTTTTATATATAGTCTGATTGACCAGCTACATAACTGGCATCTTTTCCACTTGCTTTAACCAAAATGTTACGTCGTGCGATTGTGAAATTGCTGTCCCTTTCATCACTTGAAGCAATTGCTAGTTCTGTGATTCTTCGGTTTGAAGCACTGGGCAAGGCTTCAGCCATTCCGAGACCTCCTTGGTTTATGTTGAGCATCACCTTCGGGTATATCGTCATTTCAAGGTCACGCGATGAGATATTTTTATGGACAGAGAGATCCCAGGCGGATCCAGGGCAACTTTCTGCGGGCGACGGAGGGATGCGAAAGAGAGTTTTTTTCAGCCTTAGCTTAAAACCCGGACTTTTCTAGCACTGTTGCTTGTGCCGCTGGGCGAGCGAGTGGGGAAGGGAGGGTGGGAACGAAAGATCCGTGGCTCCTCTTGCCCTGAATCCGGCAGTAAGGAAGAGGGAGATGTGCCTTATGTATGGGTTGACAGATTTGCGATGATTATAGCTTCTGCCATTTATGGTGTAGTGAGTATTAGGGTGGGAAGCAAGGGATCAGTGCAAACGCATAGAATGCAGTCTGTGTGTATATGTGTGTGCGCGTATGTGTACGTGGGTGTGCGTGTGTGGGCGTAGATGTGTGTATATTTGTGTATGTGTCTGTGATTAATCCTCGTACTTTTTTTTTTTGCAATTTACAAAGTGGCCCTAAATTTCGCCAAATTTGCGGATTATGGAACTCTAATAACTTTTGGACTTAATAGCTCGATTTTCAGCACTTCCCATAAAGCTTCAGTTCTCCTTCGCGGTGTTTTTG